ATGCAATTTAGCTTCTCCACAGGAACTCTGAGTAGCATGAAAAGGCTGACCCTGGTGGCCTGAACCACAGAGCACGAGGAGTCATGGCAAAAAGACACCTGAGAGAAGCCGGTTACTACCAATGAATGCCAAAAGCATTTCAGATGCACAGACTTAGGCGAGAAATCTTTTCCAGAAAAGACTTCATCCCTGACTGCAATTGCCCTCTCTGATAGGATTATAGCACAGGTCAAAATGTGCAGGAAAAGAGTTTAACGCAACCACAGAAGCAGAGGTCACCAGGAAAGAGGGGAAGGAGAAGCACTCCTCCCACCCCCTTCAGGCTTCTTCCTCTGCAGCCGCACCAGCAGGCTCAAGCTAGAGCAGTAAATGCCTAGGCACACACTTCTGAAATCAAATAGTCCATAACCTGGGAGCTGGGCAAAGTCAAGCACAAATCCAAATAATTTTTTGGAACATCCAAATTTTAATTTAGCTTAGACTGCTTTGGAACAGGCAAAATAAAAAAACCTATGACTTAGATCTAAAAGAGAATGTATCTTGTCTACCTGTAGCTACAATGCCTATCCAAGACTAAAACATTCCTCCTAATCTTGTTCTCACCATCAGTTTAAAGCATAGTTTTGCCCAGGTTCAGCTTTCTGGCACTCTATTGAAAGCATAACCACATAAAATCTTCTTGAGAACCAGCTTTAGGTTTGGCAGGGAGACCACCTGGCATCAAAGGTATGCCTTTTGGTATGCCTATGACCATATGCTTGAATTTTAGTCAAAAAGCAAGAAGCTGCAGGGATTTATTTTTTTTTTAAATGTGTTTGGCAGCTAAATTCTCCTGATATTCCATGGGCATTGAGCATGCTTCAGTGCAGGGACAGAGTGCAGAGGAGATGCTTATATCTAAGACTCACCAGCTAGCTCTGAACCAAACCACCAACTTGGTGCTCAAATTAGCTTTGATAGAAAGGTGGATTTATTCATGCAGGCTCACCCCATGGCATGGCTACAGAGCTTTCTATACCCTGGCTAAACACTTTCTCCATGGCACTTCACAGCATAGGGCAGATGGACTAGGCTGAGCATCTCAATCTGCACTATCCCCCTCACTGCCACATCCAGAATGATTGGTTCTGCAATTGCTGCTGTGTGCCATTACAGTACCAAACACCAGAGAAAGCAGATGATCTCTTAAGCTTGAGTTATTACTTCTGCTCAAACACACTGACAGCATAAGGAATGGAAAATAATCTTACCACGAGCACACAGAAGTTGCTGCAGACAGTAGTGGTGGTCTGTTTATGGAGTTGAGTGAGAAGTATGCTGGAATAACTGAAGGAGAGGAAAAATACACTAGTGCCCCAAAAAGATGAACCTGGCCATCAGATATTAATCCACAAAATCTACTGTTGTCCCCAGGAGTTGATACACTTTGGCTTTAAACAAAGCATGCACTGCTTGGATGGGAAAGGGGGACTTGTCCACAAAGAATTTCTGCTCCGATGGTACAAACGAATGGTGCCTGCTGCCTGGGTCTAAAGATACAAAGCCCCATGGCACAGTTTGAAGTGCCCCATTGCCCCTTATGCCCGATCGCTGTAGTTTTTTGGTGTGTTTAAGGTAAAACTCAAAGTTAATAACTCCTTTCAGCACAAGTCTGTAGAGTCAAGTATGAGAAAGCACCAGCATGATGATTGCTCACACAGTCTCAGCACACCACTCTTGTTCTTGCACAGCATGATAGGGACGTTCCTCACATAAGCACCTTCCTTGGGGCAGTACTTGCTCAATTAAGGAATAATTATTTAACCACGATCACATCTGCTTTGCACTCCTGTTAAAGAAAATCTTATGCAAAAACGTAAGAGCTTAGCTGCGAGTCCTTGGCCAAAATATCCTCTTACCAGCGCTGTGCTGCTTGCCAGGTCATCGCTGTTTGTACTTCAGAAGTTTGCAGCAGACAGACCGTGCCAAATCCGAAGAACTTTGTCATTAAAAGAAAAACTTTAAGCCTAACAGTAGGAAGTGCTCTCCATGCTTCACTAATCTTGTCAAACTATACTGTACAGACAATTACAATTAATAAAAGTATTCTTAGGAAGCTTAATGACAGCTTTGGAGCCATGGTTTCTCTGCTTCAGGTAGACCGGAATGAGGAAAACAGCGGGGAAGAAAATTTCTCTTGCTGTACTTTAGCCCCTCAAACACAAAAAGGACTCCCAAGGGAAACTGCCCCAGACAGCAATTCAACTGGTACAGATCTACCCAGGAACATCAGCTTCTCTTTCTGCCTACCCATGGGAAATACCTTTACTACCGGCACCTGAGCTTATAACCACAGAAAAGCACGATCCTGTTCCACATTAGCTACTTAAAGGCATTTGAGGTGATTCTTCTGAAAGGAGTAAACAGACAAAGCTCACCAGCTCCAAGAACATCTGAAAAAACACTCGCACTGTCACCACTCAGCAGAGAGAGATGTGCAATAAAACAGCCCACTCCTTCACTACATTTTGTACCTACTACTGTACGTAACTCCCATGACTTAAAGCAGTGGCTCCCACACAGGATGCTGAATAGTCTAGGTAAGTATCTTTTAGCACATTTCTATTTTGACAAAACCATAATCGTATCCAAAACTCTTTTGGTGGACAACTGACGCCAAGTAAATGATTTACTGACTTAGAATTCACACTTCTTTTTAGGGATAAATGATCACAGAGGACCAGACTAAGAATCTAAATATGGCTACCTTCTTTTAGTATTTTTAAGGCACTGTCAGATCCTCCTGGGGCCTGTCACAGACTGTCTATCCATCCAGCAAGGCTAAAGGCAATTCCCATGGTACTCCACCCAACCCTGCTCTTTTCAGACATTTAAATGGAATCAGGTTTATCCACGAGAAGGCTTTTCTAATGAGCAAGTTCCATGTCTGAACCCAGCAATTAGATTACCAATAGTTTCAGACACAGACAAACTTGCAAAATCCATCTCTAGACTACTGATGTCCCAAGCAGGAATAGTGTGTTGCATCCACCATGGCAGAAGCATTCAGAACTTTACAAGGAGAGCAGCCAACGTGCAAAGAGCCTGGAGGTAACACTTCCATCAGGTTTACTGAGATAGGCATCCTTTGATTGTCTCACAACAATTAAGAAAACCTTAAAGTTGAATAATTAGGAAGGAGAAAAGCAACTCTGGGCCACCTTTTATGCTTCACAGGTTTCAACTAAACATAAAGAACAAGACAGCCTCCTGGAAGGTCTGGTAATTTTGTTACCTTATTTATAGTATTATCATGATCAATTGCATTTTGATTTTAATTTCCGAATCCAGATGAGAGTTACTTAATCCGTTATAAAACTATAAACATAGCTAAACAGGTTGACAGCCACACTAAGAGATAAATGAATTTGTGGCATCCTACACAAACAGTTCAGTGAAACCCCAGCATTACATATTAGCACCTGATGGGCCTTTTAAAGACACAGTCAGATCTGAAAATTCAATCAGAAAACTTGCCAATTTGTTGTAGCTTTGAGTTTCCTAAAATACCACCCCAAAAGCTCTGAAAGCAAATCTCAGTTTAATACACACATGTGCACTACTTCACCAAGTTCCCAGAGAACACAGTAACAACAGCAGTCAAAGGGATGTGTCCTGCTGGAGCAGAAACAAGTTTACATGAACTATGTTTTGGGTACCGTCAGGAACCACCTCCCATCACTTTGAAATTTTGAGACAGCAGTCCAAGACGAGGCGAGGTGTCAATCTGTTAAAACCTCCACAGCAAACCTAATCATCCATTAAGGAAAAAACCACTGCTTGTAACACAGTCTCAAGAGAAAAAAAAATAGAAAGACAGGAATTAACACCAGAAGTTACAGAAGAAAGGTGGTTTTGTTTGTTTAAGACTTACTTTGAAGATGTCATGTTGTGCATGCCAACTGTTGGCAGTCATCAACAAAAATAAATTCTTGCTGTTAACAGAAGTAACTGAAAAGACAGGCAACTTAAGATGTTACTACACTTTCTTCTGGATTTTAACCACCACACATTGCAATAAAAACGGTGACAGAAAGAAAACATGATTAACTAATGGCCAATCTAGAGAAACGTGTCACTAGCTAATGGCTTCACTTACAAATCAAGTCACTGCATGTTTCACTCATCTCTAGCACCCTCCTGAAGGAAATAAAAAATCTGCTACAGCTGAGGGGCTCCCCTTTTTGCATTCCCCTTTCCCATCAACTTACTTCATCTCATGATGGATTTCCCCCTAGACTTCTACATCAAAGCTAGAGTTGTATCCTGCCTATTTTTCCACTTGGTATTAAGACAATTTAAACAACATAGATGGATGAAAAACGCTCACCTAGGCACAGGATCTCTTTTTGCTAGTAGCACAGTAGCATTTCGTTCGGCCTTGACTACACTGCTAACACCTACACAGAACACTGCAGCAAATTTTCCAGACCTGTTCCTTTAACCAGATGCATCTTTATTTTCTTCTTAAGCCAGATGAGACAACATGAGACCCTCACCTATCTCACACGCCTTCCAAACACTGCCTCAAAACCACTACTTTGCCACAATGTCTACAAGGACTTTGGCATCAGTACTATTATGTTGACCAGAATTGCCTAGGTGAACACCACTCCTCTCTGCTTCTGGGACCACCAAACACAGCAGAGTCCATCGTCTGTGACTGGCCTCCTGGGTTCTGTAATAAACATCTGTATTACTGCATGGAAGGGATACTCTAAAAAAAGTGTGTATTAAGTAAAAATAAGCTGCGACTTTGGTTTTAGATGCCAAAGCAAACAAGATTAGTGGTCCATAAAGAAAGTAACTGAGTTATTTACCACTCTGGAGTTCTACCAAGTATTTGATACAACCAAGCTAAAGCAGAGGATTTTAGTATATTTTCATTACAACTTGTTTTTGAGTAACTGGGTCTCAGGACAGCACTGTTTTTTGCAGAAAAAAGATGCAATCTACAATACCTTTTCTCTACTTCTGGAGTAACACTTCTTAATCATTCCATTTCACAACAGTGACCTTAAAAAAAAAAAAATGAAGAAACAAGTATTTTGATAACCAGTTCTCTGTGCTTAGTGTTTCATAACAATGTTATGCTCGCAGAGATGCCATGTCATTCCAGACAGAGTGTATTTCAAAATGGAAACCTATCAGGAAGGAATTTAGAGAATCATGCTCCCCAAATGAAGGGAAGACAGCTGATACAGAAGTGAAGAGCACACTATACTATGGGTCCAGCCTTCCTTACTCCTTTAGTTGGTAAAATGGCACTGGCATTACATTTGAAGTCAGCTGAAGCACTCTGTATATGAGGAACCATAAGTTGCCATGAAGATTGATGAGGAAAAGTCTTTTCCTAGGGGAAAATAAAAACAAACAACCCCCCAGAAAAGTTCGTATGTGGTTGTTGGGAGGAGGGGAGGAACAACAGGAAGGAGAAGAAATCACTATGAATCTGGCATCTTTAATTCAGGAAAAATCAGAACTCTTGCAATTCCCACAAACTAAACAAGGAATCACACAGTTACTGTGGAAAAGGGGGAAGAGTCAAGCCAATTCTGTTTAGAGAAGGAAGTAAGGGGAATACCATGCCAAACGCAAGAGGAATTTAATTTGACAAAGGAGAATCTACATTTCATTTTAGCCTTTGAAATGCGGCAGGACATGCCAAGGGACACTTTTCATTCCGTGTTTGTTCTTTACCTGGAAATAAGAGACTAAGCTTTTCCCCTGCTCCTCACTAGAGTGATCTTAGTACTATGTTGGAAAGTCAGTTTACTGTTTGCGTTAGATCACTGCTAAACGACAGTGGCCATAACACAACCGAGTTCACCACACTCATGGAAGGAACCCTACCAAAACTAGTACCACGCCGTTACGTTTCAGAAACGGTGATTAAGACACCGCCGGTCCAAAAGATCCTCAATTCAAGGAGAGAGAGGAAATTAAAAGCTGCATGTTTAGCTCCCAGCTGAGTCTGAAGCTGCGGAAGGTATACATACCACTTCGCAAGGAAAGGGAACAGGAAGCCAGGGAAGAAAAGAGCCATTATGTTTAAATGGTAACATTTTCATGAGGTTACACAGGCCAAATGAGCATATCCCAGAAAAATGTGAATCCAAGCCTGGGTAAAGAAACAGAAAGCAGAATAAATGACAGCAGATTTAAAAAAAAACAAAAAAACTTTAGGAGAGCAGAGAGTATCAGATTGGAAAAACGTATCAAAATAATAAGAAAAATCATAAGAGCTCCTGCACAAAAATGGAAGGGTGTAATTAAATTTGATACTAGCAACTAGATAATAATAGCTGAGAGAGCAAAAATAGGTTTCTTTGGTAGAGCCTCTCCCACACAGGATGCTGGCAAAAGATAAGTTCGAGATAGACTAAGATGATCTACTGTCAGGATCAACATGTCAAAAGAAGAGAAGAAAAAAAAAAAATATATATTAACTAACAGTAAGTCACCATGTCCTCAAGATTTATGAGGGAATTAAAGAATGTAAGGGCTGAGCAGATAACAGAAATATGTAATGCTCATTAAAGCGAGCTATTCCAGCATAGGTATGAAGTGTTTGTAAAACATGCTATAGGTGACAGAAAAAAGAAAAAGAAAAAAAAAAAAGTCAATGAACTTCAGTACTAGAAAAAGTGATTTAAAAGTAGCCACACAGAACCTTTGGCAGACCTGATGATAGGTATAAAGGAGCATAAGGCAAGAAATGAGGGAGGACACAGAACCACCCTTCTCCATCTGACCCAAACCCACCATTAAAATTGCCCATGTGTCTTTGAGCCTGTCAACTCAATTGTTTAAAGGAACTTTATGTAGACTTACTAGAAAGTCCATTTTGTAGTCTATAACAAAAAGTTCGAAAGAATCTAAATTTTAAGATAAACATAATATTTACAACCATATGCACACAGCCATTCCCTACCACTGAGGAGGTGGAAAAAAAACTCAGAGAAGTAGTAGAGAAAAAAAAAAAAAAGGCAAATTGATGTCTCTCTTGATAGAATAATACTGCACAAAGTTATTGGAAATGAACCACTTTTTAGGTTAATTCTTTAGCTTTGCACCTGGCTGAACGGCAGAGCTGCGTCAACAGACAAGCTACTTCAGTTTGTACAAACCCACATACAAATTTGATACAAGTCAGCAAAACTCAGTCTGCACGGTCTGGTGGAGTGGGGGTGCAGTTTCTTCCCTAAATGAAAAAAGCCCTCAGTTGCCAAAATGCCACCAAGAACAACACTAGTATCGACACGCTGTAGGGACAGTGGTTTCATCAGTAGGATGCTCTGGATTCCTATCTGCCCTATACATGATCTTCTGCAACACCATCTCTTCCAGTGTGGATGCCATTGCATTACAGCAATGCAAGCAGCCACACAGCGACAGGAGCTCTGCAGAGCTCCAGTTGAACCAGCAGAACCTTGTTACTCTAGGCAGGACCCCAAGAAGATGATCCTCGTATCAGAATACTATTACTCAAAGTAAATGTAAAGAACACTTAAAAAATCCCAAATGATTTTGAGATTGAAAGTATACAAAAAATACGATGTTATGATTAAAAAGAAGTCAGAACTCCCCACCCCCCCAAAGAGGAATGGCAGTACTAAATCAAATTCTAGGTTTAATCAACACCTCCCCCAGAGCAGTTGGCAGAGATAACACAAGGAATTAACAAGTGAGGAAAATGAAAGTTCCATATGACAACTCTGAAGACACTGGTAACATTTAAATTAATAAGCAGTGAAAAGGAAAAAAAAAAAAAAAATCATACAGGGGAAAAAATTAATAGGCATTACTAGCCATCCATTCTCAAAGCAGAAAAGAGACTTTTCATTTTACCATATAAGTATGATATCAATGAAATGCTTCCAAGTTTTCAGTAAAAAGGGATTAGGCTTTCATTTCAATTTCCTTTGAAAGATCAAGTAATGATCAGAAATCACAAGCGTATTCAAACAAATACATCATAAGCTAATGAATGTGCAAAATTTATCTGCCTACTTCAGATCGCTATAGCCACTAAAACTACATACTAAGTGTTCCATGAAGACCATGTATCCAGATCTTCTCAACTCATTATATGTAGACACAGCCTAAGAAGGCTTATCTGCAAGGCTGTTTTGCTTTGCTAGCTAATTAATTGCTTTTCTCATCATATAAAACATTGAGAAATCACTTTGAATGAAAGCTTTATAAGATATAAGCTGCTCTGGACAGAGTGTTCCTATATATGTACACATATATGCATGTGTTCAGGTATATATAGATACATAGTTTGTATATGGGTGTATGTATATAAAAACACACACACACATATATATATACACACATATATACGTCCTGTCACTGGTTTAAAGGCAAAGCATCCTTACAGAGCTCAAGTTCTAAACTTGTCAGGTGGCAAGAGTTGCCAATGGAGTACAAAGCTCTCGGAGCTCTGGGAAGCCAAGCCAAGTCAACTTGAATGCACAGCAACAAACGGCTATCAGGTTTTTAGCTTGAATCGATGGCTCCAGTCTTAGTTTCCAGTGGGCAAATCCATATAATGAATACACTTCTTGCTGCCTCTGCAGAAAGACAAGCTTGGAAAGGAATTCCTCCGAGTTTCAACAATTCCCTCCAGACTGCCAAGGGCTGCAACAGGCTTACCTGCACTGCAGGAGACAGGTAACTCCTGTCGATACCCGCATGACTTGTCTTGTGGGCCAAGCGCACAGGAAGCCCCCAAAAAAGGGCAAAAGACGGGTCTCTGGAACAAGAGGAAATTCTTTTGCTGGAGCACGCCTGGCTAGTAAACCACTAAGCCCTTTCCTACCCCCTCAACAGGCAGACACGTCAACAGGAGGCAGAGCCCATCATACCTTTGGCTGCTCCAAGAACTGCTGTTTCAGAGCATCACACGCACACATGCGCCCAGCTGAAAGGGCAGACTGTGGGGAGACGCTCCACAGCAGCTTAAAACAAGCTAAGTCAGGGCTACCTGAGAGCAACCCTTATGCCAGCTCACGTGTTAATTCAGTGAGCTGACTCAAAGAGCTAAATCAGTCACAAACTAACTGTATAAGCAAGTAGAATAAACACACACATAAATAAACCACATCCAATCAATTTTCAGCCATTTCTGGTTCCCGGGTCACTGTGGAATCCTGAGAGTCATTAAAAGAGTGAGTTTGCAATGACAGTGGCTGGGAAGCCAAGAAAAGAATCACGGTAACTGTGAGTGTTTGGTGTTACCTGCCATAGAAACGCACGCTACGTTGCACCAACTTGAGAGCGCTCCACCAGATTCAGTGGATCCACGCTATTGTTCTCCCATTTCACTTTTACCGCTACTGAACCTATTTCTTTTGGTCAACAAGGGTAATAGCAAGTTGGGCAGAACGCAGAAGAAAGGAGAGAATAGTCTACAGAGTATTTTACTTCTAGGCTTTGTCTATGTGTCAAAAAGGCAGGTAATTTAAGGTGTGGCATGGAGCGAATGACCACCTAGAGCCTACGGAGCAAACAGTGTGATGGATTTCTGGTCTGCTTCAAGCAAAACACGAACAGGTTAGCTCAAACAGCATAACAGGCTACTTTTGAGTTCATTCTCTGACTTGGCCTCAAGTGAAGTATAAGCAGTCATAAAAACTACTCTAAGCAGCAGACTCAGGGCAGCAGCTAGAGGCAGAGGGGCTGTGTCAAGCAGATGGACTCAGTAACCTTTTCTGCTCACACAGCTGGAAAAAGACACTTTGTCAATAGCCTTTAGACTACTGTTCTTCTGCTTTCTGTAGTTAGATTAAAGCTCCTTGTGGCACTGACCAGTTGTGTTTACAAAGCACTCAGACCAGTGGCAGCACATAACATAACCCAAAAATATTAGAAGACAAACAGCAGGGGCCTGGGGAAGCTGGTACATTTGTACCTGTAACTTTGTTAGAGGACATCAGCCTCTTGAACCGGACACGTTCTAGAAGCAAACACAAAATTTGCCAAGGCTTTTTTTTAATTATTTTTAAAGATAAAAGCTTCTCTTCCATCTAGAATAGCTATGTACATACCCAGTTCAAAAATAGGCAACAATAAATTACTAATAGCATGAAGAAAAATAGCAACTCACAACAGAAGTGTTTAGACAGATCATTTTCCCCACTCCTTCCCACCCTCTCAGTTGCACTGAAAGACACGTCTTTACATGTATTTGGGAGCATGCTATTTGAAGCCTAAATCTCTGAATCTTACAATTTCCAACATGAAGATACTGTCTATAGTGCAACGTTTTAAAATCAACTCATTCTTAAATATTTACAAATGCCTAGCAATAAAGACCAAATACACAAACCCATGCAATATTATTCTCCCAACAGCCACCACATACTCTAATCCAGCATTTCTAGTTTTCAGTATGTACTTTCAGTTACATGAATTATAAACTAAAATACAGACTCAGAAAGACAAAACACACAACTCACTAGTGTTTAGCAATCTTTAGAAGATATTTTCTAGATGCACAAATAGTATTTACTACTATGAACCCACTGGAAGCTACACCTTTCCCTGTACTTCTTATAACTTGTCATTAGACTTCATTTAGACAGCCTGTCAAATAGCTTTTCCTCATACACACAGAAAATAACTCGTTATCTACTACTACAAGCTTAGTACTACTAGCCAAAGTGGAGCAATCCTATCCTGTTGTCACATTAGAACTACGTTTTCTGTGATTTAAAAGGCTCATTTTCATGTGCAACTAACACAGAACCTTTTTCTTCCTTTTTAAAAATATTTTTCATCTCTGTTGACTCTACTTTATTCTTTTTTCCCCTTTATTAGCCCATATGGTATATTTTTCTAGCATCTGATCAATACCTCTTTTTTTCCATTATTCCCTATTTCTTCTTTCTCTCTAGTCCTGTTCCTTACGCACATCTCCCTTTTCAAGTATTTTCACAATGACAAAAGTTGACCTTAATATCACACAGCTTGTGAAACTGGGAATACCGTTTGAAACTTCAGAAACTATCCAGA